TCTGTTCGTCGACCAAATAAGCTTCCCACTCTCTTCTATTTTCTCCCTCCCTTGTCGCGATTTTCCCACCATCCAGCGCCGCCATGCCTAATTGGAGGAGTCAGGGAGAATGAAGAAGACGACGAGACGAGATAAATTTATCAAAAATGGTAATTCTCATTTATTATTTCAAAGTTTCGATTCTCCTTCTTCCTTAATCCGTTCACAACTTTACACTACCGATTAATCTGCAATTTATCACAAACTTTGAGTTGATTCGAGAACTGACTAGTGAGTACTAAGCATTACTGGTTCGAGAACTAGTGATGATTTTCTGTTTTTCTGATTCGAGAACTGGTGAAGTTTTTATTATGCAAGAACTAGTTAAGTTTTTTTGGTTTTGTTTTAATTTCTTGTGATTGGAATATTCAAGTCTTGCTCTCTATGTTGCTTCCTTCTTGTTGTGTAGGAATATTATTGGAAGTATTTAAGTATTGTTTTTGGCTTTTGGTTTGAATGACGAATTTGCCCATAAGATTGGAGTCTTGGAACTGTGGTGTTCTTTCATCTTTGCCCAAGTGCGTAATTTTCCCTTTTGCTTTCATCTTTAAATCTTTCTAACTGGACACCAACCATATAATTGACTTTTTTATCTTTCCACCTTAATTTGATTAAGTGTCGATAAACTACATCTTGGTCATTCTTATTTTTGTTAGTATTTAGTTTTTACGATTGCTGAAACTTTTTTGACAGTTTCATTGATGTTGGAGTTGTTCACACATTGCTTTGAAGGTGTTCAATGAAATACGGCTGATGTTTATGCTTATAATGCACTCATGGAAGCTTACAGGTCATCTCTTAAACCCTTTTTGAAATATTATTGCTTCTAGTAAAGTGCATTGTCTATATTGATAAGCTATTAAAGTACATTGTTATAATCGATTAGATTTTTTTAAGTACAACAATAATTAACTCGATGGATGCCATAATTTGGATCCATTTCTCTTATTTCACATTGGTTTAGATACAAAAGTTATATGTAAAATAGTTGTATGTGTACGTAATCTAAACATTTTGTGTGCTTGAAACAGACTATTAAATGGTATTTTTCCTATCAAGATAGATATAAGAGGACGAAGGTTAAAGAGATGTGGAACTGGGTTGTAATGCTAAAGAGTTGATTTGGATGTATATTTTTTTTGAACCGGCAAATATAATATATAATCTACTCCTAAACTAACACCTAAATCCACATACGTCCACAACGGGACTTGAACCCTTGACCTCAAGGAGGGAGGACACCTATATGTAAATGTGAATGTATATGTGAATGTGAATGTGAATGTTGTATTTTATTTATTAGTGTAATTTTTTTTATTATAATAGAATACATTATGTTAATTGGTCAATATTTTACATATAAATGATTTTGAGTATTTTACATATAAATGATTTTGAGTTGTTCAACAATAGTCATGACAAAAAAATATGATTAAAAGTCAACAATAGTCGCAGTTTAATCTATTACGTGTCACTAAAAGTCAATAATAGTAATGACAAACAAAAAATGTGTGACTAAAAGTAGTTTATGGTCACGGTTTAATATATTACATGTCACTAAAAGTCAACAATAGTCATGAAGACTTCATATTTAATGATTAAAACTGTTGTTGCTATCATAGCAATGATGACCCATAATACACAGAGGAAGAACCTCCAGTTCAACCAGTAACTTAGGGTTGTTGTGTCATCAGCCGTTAGCAGATCTAGCTAACTTACAGCTCCTATTTGAAGTTAAATATCAAAATTCAATACACTTTATGAGATTATAATGTAGTTTGTTAAATGATCTTTAGAGAATGAACACAAAATTCAAGCTAATTCCCATGGAGTTCCTAATTGTTTTAAGATGTGATAATTACACCAAATTTGATACTCACATTGTTTCAAAAATTACAGAAAACAAAACCAGCACTACGATTTTTAGAGATAAACTTAGTGTTTTTTAATCATATGTAAAACCATGTTTATAATCATAAGTGCTTATAACAAACCCAACTGACGATGACCCGTCCACCATCATCAAAATTGACAAAAATAGAATGAGATTGAATGATTAAAGCATATGGGAACGTAAATAGTTGGTGTATCAGATAGTATGAACGAAGTGGCAGTAACAAGAAAACTCAATCAAGAGGGCTTACCCACTTCTCTAGACACGCCTCCTGAGATCAAAAAATCACCAGAGAACTCGAAAAATCCCATATCGTCGGAGACTTGAGGTTGCTGTCTCGGTTTCGTCGCCGATTACCGGAGCCATTGTGGCCACCGGAGACTTGAGGTTGCTGTGTCGGTTTCAGTCGGATTGTCGCCTTGCTGGAGGCGAGACCCAACTATCATTCCTCGTAAATTTCAGTCATCTTCTTTCGACAGAGGAGGTCTAATAGCCGACAACCCTAAGATGTTGAAAGGTCTTATTCTCACGAACGGAGGAGACATTGGATTATTGAGATGGTTGGAGATAGAAGCGTAATTAGGGTCTTATAGTGCGAGATGGTGGCTGCGTTGGTGGTAGGTTGGTATTGAAGATATGTTATGTGGTAGGGATGGAGGCCTATTTCCATCTTCAATTTGTTAAAAACCAAATTTAATTAGAGAGATGGAGAAAGAATGACACCATGACCGAATTAGTTAAGCTGTTTTTATGGAACCATCAAAATGGAAATTCTATTATTACCCTTGAGACCCTTAAATGTAAATATAATAATTACAATTTGGTTCCACTTTTCTTGTATTTTACATAAATGACACATTAATATGAACCTTTGATTTTAGGATTTACATGGCTTAGATCTGTTATCGCGTTCTCAACCTTTTTGGTGTTCTCAATTGATCCTACTCCTATATATATATATATATATATATATATATATATATATATATATATATATATATATATATCTTACTATATTATTATACAAACCTTACTATTTCTAAAAATAGATTTAAGACGTCAAAGTGTTTAAGCTTAAAGTACAACCAGACTTTAATAAAATAAAATCAAAATTAAAAATGTCCAAATTTATAAGCTAAAAGTATAATCAAACAATGCAATAAATGTATCTCATTTCACTTTTCCCGTGTCTCCTTATCTTTCCTAATATATTTCAAAATTTTAGCTAAGACTTGTTCAAATTACCGGTATTTTTGGTCAATTCAAAATGAAAGAACCATTCAAATAGGAAAGAAACCATATAAATACGGAGGAATGAGAGGATTTGGTGCTGCACACTTCTAGATAATGCCCCGCTTCATCTCACTGTAAACCCTATCCACCACCATTTTCCATTTTCCATGGACTCCAGTACTCCACCACCGTCTCTCCATATTCTCTCTAAAATCCTAGAACTGTCTCTCCACATTCTCTCTAAAAACCCAAACGGCCAAACCTCTCAACGCCGCCCCCTTGGAACCAGCAACAACAACCACCAACCACGAGCTCATATCTTCTATTGCTCCAACGTCACTACCACCGATCTTCTATCAACGCCACTGCCCCTCATCTCCTTCGTTTTTCTCTCTCTCGAACCAAACCCAAAACGAAGCCACCAACACCTCTCTATCTCTCTATAGAAACCACTGCCATTACTTTTCGTCTCTCTCTGTATATGCATCACCATGAAACCATTGCTGCTAAAAACCCAAGGTCTAGAAACATTCCACAACTACCTTCTCCCTGTCTTCGTCACCATGAAACCATTGCTGCTAAAAACCCAACATCAAAAACCCAAGGTCTATAAACATTCCACAACTATTTTCTCCCTATCTTCGTCACCTATCTCGCCCTCTTCATTTTTTGTGTAGGAATAAGAATGGTCAGGATCTCAAGAAGGATGGGGCTCTAAAAAGAGCAAAATTTGCTTCAAAGAGGTGAAATCGGCCAAATTTAGTTAAACTTGAAGCACTATCTTTCCCAATGTTGCAATTTTTGTTGTTATAGGGTCTCTCTTTTAACCTTTATTGGCTTATCTTCTTTGTAAAACCCTTTGTCTGGGAGTCATATCTCCCCTGCAGAAAGCAACATCAAAAATAAGAATTTTAATTCGAAATATTTTAAATTTATGTTTCTCTTTGAGAAAGTTCTTCATTTCCGTTTCTTCTCCTGGTTGTTTCAATACGCGATTGTTTAAAAGGTAATTATTTTACCTTTCTTTCTTGACTTATGATAGGGGTGTTCCTACTTTTCACAGAATTTGAATTTGCTAAAAGCATGATGGATTTGAACATGGTAGATATTGGTTCGATGGTTCATCTTTTTGCAAGGTAAAAATCCATACCCAATTCTCTTAATAGACATCTTGGTTTTGAAGTTATTTTTGTAAAAAGGGCATCTAGAAGATTCCGATACCCCAACAAATTACTTGACAAAAACAAGTTCTGTTGAAAAGTTTTATAAAGTAACATCAACTTTTGGCCTAGAAAATAAAGCCACATTTATCTTATTGACAAAAACAAGTTCTGTTGAAGTTATTTAGTAAAGTAACATCAACTTTTCATTTGGTCGTTTTGAGCTATTTTGCTTTGATGTACTTTTGGCCTAGAAAATAAAGCCACATTTATCTTATTGATGTCAAACCTAACTTCAACTGCAAAACTATTGTGTATTTTGCTGCGAATCTAACAGCAAGGAGTTCTATTCGACTATTTGTAACACTAAATATCTTTGGAAATCAAACTCAAAAATCTGAATCAACTCTACAACTTTTAAACTAACATGTTAGACTTCTGTAGTTACCCTATAGCTTTTTCCTCTTTCAACCATGGTGAGTATGATCTTATGCTTCAATATGTGTTGTTAGTACTTACTAAGAATGTTTTTATGATATGCATACATGACTGTTTTAATATTTAAACTTTACATTTCCTTCTTCCATTTACCTTTGCATGTACTCCTTTTTAATGTCTCAATGATCATTAGCCTTTTACTATTGAGTTGTGTTCTGTCTTTGTTTCCAAGGTAGATGGATCACAGCTCTGGAGAAGATTGGATTGCTTCGGACAAATCCTCAGGTTCAAGTAATTATGCGTGGCTTGCGTGTTCAGATGACTTTGAATCTCAAGAGGCAATAGGAGATTACCTTCGCAAGAAGCATGAACTCAGGACTATATCAGACCTTGTTCAAGAAACTGTCCAGACTAGAAACAAAACTGTGGTGGAATTAGCCAGTGAGATTGACAGGAGGAATGAAACTCTTGATGACTTGCAGATCAAATACATTCAGAAAAGAGTTTCTTTGAGTAGCATGCTTGAAGAAAAATACAGCCTTCATCAAGCTTTCTATGAAAATGAAATGTTGGTTGCTAATTTGGAGAAAGGAAAGAAAAAGCTCAATTCATTGATGAAAAAGCTTAAAACAAGGGTAGCATTAATAAAAGTTGAGAAATAAAAGTTGGATGAAGAAAAAAAGGTGAGTTTATTCTTCATTTTCACCTTAACATGTTTCTGTCTACACAATTTGCTATTAAGACAGATTGTACAGACTTATATCTTGTTAGATAGAACATGGTCACAACTTGGCATGCACACATGTTTATATATAATCATATTTTGTGATTCATATCCTTTTTGGAGATCTAGAATGATGTGCAAAACAACTGTCTGCAAATGACATCCTTTGAGCAAAAAAAAAGCTGATGAAAGTTTGTTAAGATTGATTTAAGAGCAGAATGTAAAATGTGTATTCTTAAAATGTCTTTATTACAACTTTTGTTGACTTGAATTGCAGAGAGAGAAAGGGTGGGTTTTGATGAAAGTGCGTGGATTCGGGAGGCAACTAGATGTTGAACAGAAACTGGAAATAAGAATTAAAGAACTGAAAAGGAAAGTGCAAATGATGAAGCATTTAGGAGATGAAGATGATGCTGCTGTTCACGAGAAAATCACGGAGATGAACAATGAACTTGAAATAAATATAGAAGAAATGGAGAACATGGAGAATTTGAATCAAACACTTTTGGTTAAGGAACGCCAGAGTAATGATGAACTGAAAGAAGTTCGCAAAGAGTTAATTAAAGTATTAATTCTAAATTACAAAACCCATGACTAAATTCCATTAATCTTTTGAATAATTTTATGAATTAATTGTTATTGGTTTTGGGGTTTTCAGGGGTTGAAGGGTATGCTAAGTGGGCGAACAAATATTGGTGTGAAAAGGATGGGAGAAATTGATATGAAGGCGTTCCATGATGCCTGCAAAGAGAAGTTTGGTAATGAAGAAGCTCAGATAAAGGCGTCTGAGTTATGCTCTTTGTGGCAGGAGAAGCTTAAAAATCCAGAGTGGCATCCCATGAAAGTTGTTGCGGTAGATGGTGATAATCTCAAGGTGTGCTTTAAGTTTGATGATGATATGTTTATAGTCTTAAATTTATGATGATGATGGTGATGATGCAGGAAGTGATAAATGAAGAGGATGAGTTGTTGAAGAATCTCAAGGCAGAATGGGGGAATGGGGTATTTGCGCACGTTGACCATAATATCTATAAATATAAAGCAAGAAGTTATCAAATTAACAAAAAAATAATTTATGAAAAAAAAAGACTTACTTAAATTCGCAAGTAAAGACCTTTCCTTGAAATAGCTTCAAGACTGGAACAAAGGGAAAATTAAGATCAAACAATATAAAAAATACAATGGTAAAGGAGAATAATCTCATAACTTACAATTGTAAGATGAAATGGTTGGGGATCTATGTTTAACAAAGCACCCGATGGCCCAGTGGATGATTTGACAATCATGAAGGTACTAAACACCAAAAAGAAATTACAGCTGCCATCCAATCTCCACCATACCAAAAAACAACTTCAACTGGCTTAATCAACCTTTACATCTTAAACTAAACAAACCAACTTCAAAATGTCATAATCTACCAATTTCAACAAATAGTTTCATACTTTCAATCTTAAACTAAACAAACCAATAAGAGAATATTTCACAACAGAAAAAACAAAGACTTTGTCACATAGGAGGCTGCATGGGCAATCTGGGAATATATCATATTCCATTCCCTTCTATCACATTACAGTTAAGTTATGCCTGAGATCATATCAGTTAAGCTCACCAAGGGCAATTTGGTCAAAGTTACAGCTAAAGAGTAATGTGTTGAGTATGAATCCACAAAAATGTTGAGTGTGAATCCACAGAAATGTTGAGTGTGAATCCACAGAAAAGTTGGTCAAAAATGGCAGGAACAATGTGAAGTTGTGAAGCCACAATTGTTGAATGAAGACCCAGTTGTGTTTTTTGACTACTTCTGATTTCCATCTCTATATAAGAGATTATTCTGTATTTGTAAAACTTGTATCTAGTGTAACACAGAAAGAGTGCAGATTAGCACCAAGAAATGTAAATTCCTAGTTACCGGTGGACGTAGGTCAGAGAAGGACCGAACCACGTTAAATCCCTCATGTTCATCCTTGTGTTCTTGTTTTTCGTGAGCTATGTGTGTGTTTAGAGTCGTGTGTTAAGTGTCTCGATCCTAACAAGTGGTATCAGAGCAAGGTTGTAGCTCCAGAAGGTGATTTTAAGTTTTTGGTAGAAATTTTTTTTCGTCAAAAACGATTTTGGTGTATACCGTTGGAAAGTTCTCGTTCCGAAGATTCCGAAAATATTTTTTTCTGAATTTTTTGACCACCGGAAGACGTCCAAATCGCCGGTCAAAGGTTTGCCGGAATAGTGACCGGAAAACCAGTTCGCCGGAGAAGATGACACTGTAGCACCAGACACTGTAGCAGTCCGCCGGACAAGACGACACTGTAGCGTCACTGTAGCGTCACTGTAGCAGAATTTGAAAAACTCAGATTTGGTCCCTGAAGTTCCAGAAAAATTGCAAGACAGGCCCCTGAATTTCCAGAAAATTGCAAAATAGGTCATTGTTCTTTCAGAAAATGGCAGAAAGCAATAAGCTTCAGATTGAGAAGTTTGATGGGAAAGATTTTGGTTGGTGGAAGATGCAAATTGAAGATTTGCTCGTGCATAAAGACTTGGACGCAGTTTTAGGTGAAAAACCGGAGGCGATGACACAAGCAAACTGGGAGACTTTGGATAAGAAGGCCAAGGCATTTATTAGACTGACGTTGTCAAAGGATGTTGCCTTCAATATTTTGAAGGAGACCTCGGCAAAGGGAATCATGGAGGCATTGTCTAATATGTACGAGAAGCCGTCGGCAGCAAATAAAGTCTTCCTGATTCGGGAACTAGTCAACACGAGGATGAGGGAAGGAAGTTCAGTTACAGTACACATCAACAATTTGAACTCGATTTTATCCAGACTTGGGTCAGTGGGAATAAAATTTGAGGACGAAGTTCAAGCTTTACTACTGTTATCATCATTACCTGACAGTTGGTCCGGAACAGTTACAGCCGTTACTAGTTCCGCAGGATCGAAAGAGCTCACTTTTGAGGGAATTCGGGATTTAATTCTAGGCGAAGACGTCAGACGAAGAAATTCCGGGGAATCATTAAGTGAACAATTGAATGCGGTCAGAGGTAGAAGAAATAACAGAGGTAGTGGAAGCGGGAACAGGAGAAGGAGTCAGTCGAGGACTCGAAATGATGTGACTTGTTGGAACTGGAAAAAGGTTGGACATTTCAGGAATCAATGTCCAAAAGACAAGAAAGAAGTTAACGTTGCAGTAGACCATTCAGATGATGATGTTTTGATCTGTAGTGTGGAGAGCAATGTGGATTCCTGGGTTATGGATTCAGGTGCTTCATTTCACGCTACCCACAACCGTGAAGCACTGCAGAATCTGAAAGAAGGAGATTTTGGTAAGGTAAGACTGGCGAACTATGAGGTTCTTGATGTGACGAGCATAGGTGACTTAGATTTGAAGACTCCAGTTGGTCCATGGACTTTGAAGGATGTCCGGGTAATTCCAAGTCTGAAGAAACAATTGATTTCTGTTGGGCAGTTGGATGAACAGGGACACGAGGTTAAGTTCAGGAATGGGCAGTGGAAGGTTGTCAAAGGAAATCTTGTGATAGCTCGTGGACATAAGAGGGGTTCATTATATATGGTCAGTTTACCGTCTGAGGGAGTAACCGTCCCAGTTCAGAAGAAAAACAAAATCCGGTTCATAGAGTCTCGTGGACAGAAGAAGGTTTGCTTTGCAGATGGCAAACCAAGAGTCACAGGTCAGATTCAGGTTGAACGTGTTTGGAACGGTTCAGAAAAACCAGTCAAGGGCATTCATAGCAGTGGGAGCATGGGCTTTGTTTCAGCTAGAATACCCAGAACACAGTGGATTAAGAGAACCAATATTCCATCTGTAAAAGTCTCTCCAGATTATCTGCTTCACATGGAGAGTGTCGTTTGTTCTCAGGATGTTCCAGGATCGGGCAGTTCATTTCAATGGGAGCCGGTGGAGACAGAGAACAGGTCAGTGGCAGACTTAGCCATGACTGATGCGTTGAAGCTAACGAAGGCTTCAACTGGCCTTCAGGTTAATTGAAGAGAAGGCCAGGGTAACTAGGAAGGAGTTAAGATCAAATACAGATGCACAGTTGAAGCACAGGTGAAGATTGTTCCGTGGCTTCAAGTGGGAGATTGTTGAGTATGAATCCACAGAAATGTTGAGTGTGAATCCACAGAAATGTTGAGTGTGAATCCACAGAAAAGTTGGTCAAAAATGGCAGGAACAATGTGAAGTTGTGAAGCCACAATTATTGAATGAAGACCCAGTTGTGTTTTTTGACTACTTCTGATTTCCATCTCTATATAAGAGATTATTCTGTATTTGTAAAACTTGTATCTAGTGTAACACAGAAAGAGTGCAGATTAGCACCAAGAAATGTAAATTCCTAGTTACCGGTGGACGTAGGTCAGAGAAGGACCGAACCACGTTAAATCCCTCATGTTCATCCTTGTGTTCTTGTTTTTCGTGAGCTATGTGTGTGTTTAGAGTCGTGTGTTAAGTGTCTCGATCCTAACATAATGATCGATCGACTACTAGGATATCATGGTGGTCATAATTACAATTGTGAAAAATCTATTTTTCATTAAGGGTTGGAATATTAAAAAATTAACTGGAGAGATGGTAAATATGGTGGTAAGTTAACAAAAAATAGTTGATACAAGGATATCATATATTTTATGCATTCTTCATTTAATTATGAATTAGAAGGAAATAAAATAAGTGTTGAAAGAGAAGGAAAAAACAATTAGCGGTTCTTTTTATTCTTAAAAGATGAATCTAACATTTTTAATACACTTCAAATATTTTATAGTCAGTACGAAAAAATTGTAGTGTGTATTTTATTAAGTTATATATACTTAGTCTAAATTCTGTTAATTTTTTTGGACGATGAGACTTTTAATATCAAAACAAATATAATTTTTTACTTATTTTAAAAATTTAAACATAAAGTGTGTGTTCCATTTTGGAACAAGAAGTTGCATTAATTGTTTTAATTATGGATTTACAATAAATTTTAATATTTGTTATACTCTTCTCAAATTTGATATTAAAATATTGTGGATTTTTTTAGAAAATATCATTAAAATTCAATTATGTTTTATATTAGTAGGGTGACTAATTGGGCCATCATGTTTGTTTTAACTAACACAAAAACGAACCAATTATAAAACGACAAATACAACACAACAAGACAAAGATAACATAACGTAACAATTAGTTTATTTAATTAATATTTAATCGAACAACAAAACACAAAAAAAACACGACAAATAAATGTTAAATCGTGTCAATTTCGTATCGAATTTCGAATACCAACATGACATTACACAGCCCCGTGTTTTTTACACTTGACCTAAACACGACACGGAAGCGAATTCGAATTTCAGTTTCGTCCCAATTTTATTTCGGAGCGTGTATTTTTTTCGTTTCATGTCATCAATTTTCACCCCAAAATTTTACTATAAATAGATCCACATACTATCAAATAGTTTAGCTAAAAAGGTGATACTTTTAATTAGATGAATCTATACAAATTTAAAAACGATAAGTATCCGACAATATATATCTAATGTGAATTTATTATAGAATACGTCAATATATTTTATACGATAAATGATTACAGTTCATTCTAAACATACCCCCCCCCCCCCCCCCCCCCCAACCCTAAAAATATTGGATTAGCAATGTTAAGTCATTATTAAAATTTTCTTTTAACCATATTAAAATATAATTTATTATTACTGTTATTATTATTATTTTTTTTTACAATGGGTGTTGAAATTATTCGGCGTTCGCTGAAAGGACTCTAATCGTCATCCCAAACCGGCCGATAACAATATGTATTTTTCTTATGTTTCTTATAATATAACATGTTTCTGGATGAAACTAATTACCTAAAAAAACTATTTAACGCCGCCGCTTTGCGCGGGTGCTTTGTTAAACATAGATCCCAAACCATTTCATCTTACAATTGTAAGTTATGAGATTATTCTCCTTTACCATTGTATTTTTTATATTGTTTGATCTTAATTTTCCCTTTGTTCCAGTCTTGAAGCTATTTCAAGGAAAGGTCTTTACTTGCAAATTTAAGTAAGTCTTTTTTGTTCATAAATTATTTTTTTGTTAATTTGATAACTTCTTGCTTTATATTTATAGATATTATGGTCAACGTGCGCAAATACCCCATTCCCCCATTCTGCCTTGAGATTCTTCAACAACTCATCCTCTTCATTTATCACTTCCTGCATCATCACCATCATCATCATAAATTTAAGACTATAAACATATCATCATCAAACTTAAAGCACACCTTGAGATTATCACCATCTACCGCAACAACTTTCATGGGATGCCACTCTGGATTTTTAAGCTTCTCCTGCCACAAAGAGCATAACTCAGACGCCTTTATCTGAGCTTCTTCATTACCAAACTTCTCTTTGCAGGCATCATGGAACGCCTTCATATCAATTTCTCCCATCCTTTTCACACCAATATTTGTTCGCCCACTTAGCATACCCTTCAACCCCTGAAAATCCCAAAACCAATAACAATTAATTCATAAAATTATTCAAAAGATTAATGGAATTTAGTCATGGGTTTTGTAATTTAGAATTAATACTTTAATTAACTCTTTGCGAACTTCTTTCAGTTCATCATTACTCTGGCGTTCCTTAACCAAAAGTGTTTGATTCAAATTCTCCATGTTCTCCATTTCTTCTATATTTATTTCAAGTTCATTGTTCATCTCCGTGATTTTCTCGTGAACAGCAGCATCATCTTCATCTCCTAAATGCTTCATCATTTGCACTTTCCTTTTCAGTTCTTTAATTCTTATTTCCAGTTTCTGTTCAACATCTAGTTGCCTCCCGAATCCACGCACTTTCATCAAAACCCACCCTTTCTCTCTCTGCAATTCAAGTCAACAAAAGTTGTAATAAAGACATTTTGAGAATACACATTTTACATTCTGCTCTTAAATCAATCTTAACAAACTTTCATCAGCTTTTTTTTTGCTCAAAGGATGTCATTTGCAGACAGTTGTTTTGCACATCATTCTAGATCTCCAAAAAGGATATGAATCACAAAATATGATTATATATAAACACGTGTGCATGCCAAGTTGTGACCATGTTCTATCTAACAAAATATAAGTCTGTACAATCTGTCTTAATAGCAAATTGTGTAGACAGGAACATGTGAAGGTGAAAATGAAGAATAAACTCACCTTTTTTTCTTCATCCAACTTTTATTTCTCAACTTTTATTAATGCTACCCTTGTTTTAAGCTTTTTCATCAATGAATTGAGCTTTTTCTTTCCTTTCTCCAAATTAGCAACCAACATTTCATTTTCATAGAAAGCTTGATGAAGGCTGTATTTTTCTTCAAGCATGCTACTCAAAGAAACTCTTTTCTGAATGTATTTGATCTGCAAGTCATCAAGAGTTTCATTCCTCCTGTCAATCTCACTGGCTAATTCCACCACAGTTTTGTTTCTAGTCTGGACAGCTTCTTGAACAAGGTCTGATATAGTCCTGAGTTCATGCTTCTTGCGAAGGTAATCTCCTATTGCCTCTTGAGATTCAAAGTCATCTGAACACGCAAGCCACGCATAATTACTTGAACCTAAGGATTTGTCCGAAGCAACCCAATCTTCTCCAGAGCTGTGATCCATCTACCTTGGAAACAAAGACAGAACACAACTCAATAGTAAAAGGCTACTGATCATTGAGACATTAAAAAGGAGTACATGCAAAGGTAAATGGAAGAAGGAAATGTAAAGTTTAAATATTAAACAGTCATGTATGCATATCATAAAAACATTCTTAGTAAGTACTAACAACACATATTGAAGCATAAGATCATACTCACCATGGTTGAAAGAGGAAAAAGCTATAGGGTAACTACAGAAGTCTAACATGTTAGTTTAAAAGTTGTAGAGTTGATTCAGATTTTTGAGTTTGATTTCCAAAGATATTTAAACAAGTGTTACAAGTAGTCGAATAGAACTCCTTGCTGTTAGATTCGCAGCAAAATACACAATAGTTTTGTAGTTGAAGTTACCAGGTTTGACATCAATAAGATAAATGTGGCTTTATTTTCTAGGCCAAAAGTACATCAAAGCAAAATAGCTCAAAACGACCAAATGAAAAGTTGATGTTACTTTACTAAATAACTTCAAAAATAACTTCAACAGAACTTGTTTTTGTCAATAAGATAAATGTGGCTCTATTTTCTAGGCCAAAAGTTGATGTTACTTTATAAAACTTTTCAACAGAACTTGTTTTTGTCAAGTAATTTGTTGGGGTATCGGAATCTTCTAGATGCCCTTTTTACAAAAATAACTTCAAAACCAAGATGTCTATTAAGAGAATTGGGTATGGATTTTTACCTTGCAAAAAGATGAACCATCGAACCAATATCTACCATGTTCAAATCCATCATGCTTTTAGCAAATTCAAATTCTGTGAAAAGTAGGAACACCCCTATCATAAGTCAAGAAAGAAAGGTAAAATAATTACCTTTTAAACAATCGCGTATTGAAACAACCAGGAGAAGAAACGGAAATGAAGAACTTTCTCAAAGAGAAACATAAATTTAAAATATTTCGAATTAAAATTCTTATTTTTGATGTTGCTTTCTGCAGGGGAGATATGACTCCCAGACAAAGGGTTTTACAAAGAAGATAAGCCAATAAAGGTTAAAAGAGAGACCCTATAACAACAAAAATTGCAACATTGGGAAAGATAGTGCTTCAAGTTAAACTAAATTTGGCCGATTTCACCTTTTTGAAGCAAATTTTGCTCTTTTTAGAGCCCCATCCTTCTTGAGATCATGACCATTCTTATTCCTACACAAAAAATGAAGAGGGCGAGATATGTGACGAAGATAGGGAGAAAATAGTTGTGGAATGTTTATAGACCTTGGGTTTTTGATGTTGGGTTTTTAGCAGCAATGGTTTCATGGTGACGAAGACAGGGAGAAGGTAGTTGTGGAATGTTTCTAGACCTTGGGTTTTTAGCAGCAATGGTTTTATGGTGATGCATATACAGAGAGAGACGAAAAGTAATGGCAGTGGTTTCTATAGAGAGATAGAGAGGTGTTGGTGGCTTCGTTTTGGGTTTGGTTCGAGAGAGAGAAAAACGAAGGAGATGAGGGGCAGTGGCGTTGATAGAAGATCGGTGGTAGTGACGTTGGAGCAATAGAAGATATGAGCTCGTGGTTGGTGGTTGTTGTTGCTGGTTCCAAGGGGGCGGCGTTGAGAGGTTTGGCCATTTGGGTTTTTAGAGAGAATGTGGAGAGACAGTTCTAGGATTTTATAGAGAATGTGGAGAGACGGTGGTGGAGTACTGGAGTCCATGGAAAATGGAAAATGGTGGTGGTTAGGGTTTACAGTGAGATGAAGCGGGGCATTATCTAGAAGTGTGCAGCACCAAATCCTCTCATTCCTCTGTATTTATATGGTTTCTTTCCTATTTGAATGGTTCTTTCATTTTGAATTGGCCAAAAATACCGGTAATTTGAACAAGTCTTAGATAAAATTTTGGAATATATTAGGAAAGATAAGGAGACACGGGAAAAGTGAAATGAGATACATTTATTGCATTGTTTGATTATACTTTTAGCTTATAAATTTGGACATTTTTAATTTTGATTTTATTTTATTAAAGTTTGGTTGTACTTTAAGCTTAAACACTTGGACGTTTTAAATCTATTTTTAGAAATAGTAAGGTTTGTATAATAATATAGTAAGATATATATATATATATATATATATATATATATATATATATATATATATATATATATATATATATATATATATATATATAAGGTCCGAATCTGATGAGAACTCTAATTTCGATAAGGACTGCGAGAACAATTTATTACCACTCATTGTAATAACGGTAAACTCGTGACATTAATTAATGGATAGTTGGGCGAGAATAGTGTGTCTATTGCATCACAGGATCTCGATCATTAAGGCCTTCCGGTATGGGCTATCACCCTACACGTGATGTCTTATGTGGTTAGAAAGCCACACGTAAACACAACTCTAAAGATAGGTGGGTGTCTTGTGTCGTGGTACCGGCTACGGAAAAAGTCGAGGGCTGTAATTGGTAGAACATTTGTTTGTGTCTATTTCTCTTTACAATCTCTCTCTTCTTCACCACATCTTCACTAGTGAACACCATTTTCACAGCCTAATAGATTGGTTGTGGAATGGTTAAAATAATAACTTGACCTCTTTTCATTTCATTCTCACGCGTGAGGATACCCTTAGCGTGAGGATACATATTATTTATGTTTCGGCGCGTATGATATATTAGGACATCTAGGTCGCCGCTTTAATTGAGTTAGCCCAATCTGCACCCGTGAACTATTGTGGATATGATTTGAAATTAATAAACAATGTATTTTTTTTCTAACAAACCATAACTAATGTTTTAAATGCTTGTATTTAATATCTTTTTTGTGGCACGCATTAATCATTATAGCTAGGCTCACTAGTTGATGATTTAATAATTTACGTAAAACACTTTTGTTTGTCTTAAATCTTTTATAACCCATAAAATTTCTTAATACTAATTTCTTAAATTTTTTTCTTAATCAATAATTCAGATTTATATCATTTTTTTATATATGTTTATAATCTCTCAATCGTTAAATTTGGATCGTTTCAAACCAAATTAAAATATTCAAACAAGGTGTGCTTCCTAACAAATTTTGGATATAATGTGTTGGATTATATCAAAATATGAATCATATTAGTTTATACAATTTGAATCATATAATTTGGAATTTGGATCATATCATTTTAGGTAATATGGTTTGGATTATATCATGTTTTTATATAGATTTTTGTTCATAAATAAATAATTTTTGGTTCATAAATATTTTGTGTCATAATTATTACAGAAAAAATTATTTTGGACCATATAATTTTGGATCAAAATTATGTTGAGTAATAACATTTTGGATCAAAAATAACATTTTGCATCGTTAATAAACTTTATATACATCATTTTTATCATAAATATTCGTTACATAATGGTTTAAATCATTATATTTTGGATCTTAATATTTTAGATTAAAGTTCAAATATCATAAATATTTTTGATTCACAACATTTTTTGATCTCAAAAACCAAATAAACTCTTTTTAAATAGACTTTGGTTCGTAATCATTTGGATTTGGAGAATATTATTTTGCATCATAGCTATTTCTAAATCATATAATTTTTAAAAATAACATATACGATTAAGTATCAAAATATTTTTGAATCATAAAATTAAGTATTTTGATCAAAATATTTTTGAATCATAAAATTAAGTATCAAAATATTTTTGAATCATAAAATTTTAATAATCATAAACATTTTGAATCATAATTATTTTGAATATAATTATTTTCGAACAAATAATTTTTTCACATATATGATTATTGATTCAATAATATGATCCAAGTTATACATTACTATTCCTAAAAATCAGTTATACGTTCCTAGATATTATAAACCACAATAATATCAAAAGATTACAATAACGAAATATTGGAAAAATTAAAATAAAAAACAAAGAAGCAGTTATTAAAAATATATATGTAAAGAAACAAAAACGAAAGATGCTAAATATTTTATATCATTTAATATTAGAGTAGAAAAAAGAAAGAGTAAATTACACGAATCGTCTATGGTGCCAAATTGTATGTTCGGTCCCTATTTTCGAAAATTAACTCGGACCGTCCCTCGTGTATTTAAATACTACCCGCCCAGTCCCTATTGTCGTTAGACGTTAGTTTTCTCCGTTTAGGTGCCCCACGTGCCTTGCACACAGGGGTATTTTTGTCATTTCATGTCGTGTGCCCCTATTAGAGCCATTGCCCTTCCTCTGCTTTCATTTATCTTCGTCGGTCTTCTTCCCCCATTACTTCTTCCCCCTTTTGTTCTTCGATTAGCCTTCTCCAACCAACAAAAATGGCCATTAGATGCAATTTGTGGAGCTGAAGTTGTGATTCGTACCTCATGGAGCAAGAACAACCATGGAAAACGTTACTATGCTCCGGTTAATTTCAATTTATTGATAAATCTAACCTAATCTCTTAATTTCTCCTATTTTTTTTGTAAATTTTAGCATTGTTAAATGTTTATACACTTACTTTGCAGGCTCGTGGTTGCAAGTTCATTGGTTGGGTGGTGGAGGATCAGAAATGTGCTTGTATGAACATTAGGATGAAGCTTGAACAACAAAATCTGAAACTGAAGTTGTATCTAGTTATTAGTTAGTTTTTGTTTATGTCAATTATAGTGTACAAAGTGTAGGATAAGTTATCAGATAAGTTTACCTTTTAGTTGTATTGGAGAATATCAGTTTGCAAGTTGTATTAGATGTATCAGTTTGCAAGTTAATGAAAATGGGGTGTTTTTTTTGGTAATTGCCAAACATGCATTCATACCAAAACAACAATTTATATCATACCATTAAGTCATCAAACCATTACAAACATGCATTCATACATTAACAACCTAATTAATCATTAAGTCATTTAAACCATTAAAAACATTCATCCAGTCAACATAGTTTGAAGTACATCACCATCATAGCTAAAGAAGTATCACAACATTAGTTCAAACTGAAATTACAGACCCAAAATACATGAAAGAACATTGTTTCAAGTACATTAAAAGCATTAGCCAACCAAAAGACATGAAAGGAATACACAAACACTAAACTATCATACTTTTCCCATTGTTCACAGCACCTGAATTTTGTCCCACACCAGCATTCTGTCCCACATCACTACCACTGTCCTGTGATCCTCCCACTGACTGCGGCTTGCAGCTCCTACCATTATGCCCAACATTTCCACACTTTAAACATCTAACTGTTCTGGTCCCTCTAGCACTATCATCTTCAGTAGCAGATCTTCTTCTTTTCTTTTTTGGCCTACCAATAGGCATGTGATGTTTTGGTGGTAGTAACTTTGTTGGACAACGACTTTTGCCTTCATCATCCTCCTATTAATTGGTTCAATTTTAAAGGCATACATCTATTTCCATGTATTCAACAAGTATGTTGGGTGAACCCATGTTTCACGTATCCCAACATTCTCATTATTTCTCCTCCTATCCCATATAGCTGCAATTGTGTGCTTGCATGGCATGCTAGTGACCTCCCACTTGTTACATGAGCATGTATGCTGTGTTATGTCAACTAAACATTGGCACACATCTTCACCACCTGTAACCTGATACTTCTCATTTCCACAAAACACAACCGTATAGTGGGCCAGAACATTTGTCAGTTGTCTTTTGGACAATAACAAGCTTCTTCATTATGTACTATCTAATAAATTCCAAGCAACTTATAACTGGTTTGTCACGACCCTTGACAAGTTTTCTATTCAATGTCTCACAAACTTTGTTTAACAATGCATCATAATGTGCACTTCTTGTAGAATAACAATGTTGCATCACAATTTTCAGTAATCTTTTAAGATGCATACAATCAACAATGTTGAAGAATTTTAACATGTATAACTTACCTGTGAAGTGAGACCTGGACCAATGTTGGGGTGGAATGGCTTTAAGCCATTCATATGCATCATTGTTCAATTTCTTTAGTTCCTCCATTGCAAGATTCAGTTGTTGTACGACTGATGGCGTTTTTCTCTATGCTGTGATTCTCAGGCTTAACTCCATTGGGACAACAAGAGACAAAGTTAAGTCCGGGGAACATATCACAACATTTGGTGTCATCTGGACGTATACTCAGAGCTACACAACATATGAAACGACCCTAGACTTCGACAATGTCGTATAAAGGCGTTATGCTACCAGATTGCTGGCAAACCTAGTATGCACAAGTCGAAGCAACCCACTAACGACTCTAGGCTCGCCCACGCCAAAAACACAATCTTCTCTTAGCACACGAGTGACGTCGGCCCACAGTCTCGTGTCGGGCCATACATCCGACTCGTGACCTTGGTCTTACGCTACAATGATCTCCTCAACCATAACAGTCAACAGCGCCGTCTGGTCGACCAAAACCAACACCATCATGAAGAACATCAAACCGCAATGAAACCCTAACGAAGACCAACAAAAACAGGAAACCTTAACAACCAAAAGTCCATGACACGAGCACACATGCCGCCAAATTAACGACGTAGACGAGCTATCACGGAGCATTGGAAACATCAACTTCTCGTCAGCAGACCCGCATCCCCACAACTGGGACCCCACTCCTCATTACAACATGCATACGCCAAAAGCG